TGGCAATTCGTGGAATCAGTGCAGGGCTGACACTGCAGTGATTCACTTGTAGAGGTGGGTGGTACCTTAAGACCATCCCAGTTCTTTCCAGGTAGACTCCCCTTCTTCCCCAGTTCCCCATTCCCACACCAAGCCACAGCCACCCCTCAGAGGAATAAATATGTACCCCCACCCCCTAATCTGGGTCATTTCAGCTTCCAAGGCAGTCATTTTGAAACCCGAGGCTCTGTAGGAAAATCCAGTCTCGCCTTTGGTTGTTTTTCTTCTTGCCCCTCGCCCGCATGTTAGCCCTAATTTTGCTTTGAAACTGGAGCACAGTGCTGTATGAGGTATCCAGATTCGGTGAACTGGGCTGTTTGCAAGGGCCAAGGCAGGAGCTGAGATTTATTAAGAATTAAAAAAAAATCCTAATGCCTGTGGGCATATCCTTGTCACTGACGTTGGTGATTCTTTTGGTCTGGGATACTGGGGACTCTGGGGACCAGGCATACCAAGAACTCTGCAGTGAGACAGGACAGATTGACTATATTGCATAATACAAACACAGAAACGGACTTTATGTGGCGTAAAAAACACGCAGGTTGTAACATCGCAGTAGTGAAATTATGAGCTATGCAAGCATGGATCAATTTTATCATCTTATATTTATTTGCCTAGGAAAAGCAATAACGCATGCTGATTTTCGAAACTTCCTAGTAGCAGTTCCTTGGAACTAGGGCAGTCTTATCTGGATTTCCCTTAATCTGTTTTTATTTGGCTCTTTATTATTTACTTGACTTGATATTTGTTACTGGAATAAATCTTGTGTGTTGGGGGGTATTTTTAGTTTCCTGAAAAATAAGGTTTACAGCCTACCTGAAGGAATGTTGTTTTCTCAGCTCTGTAGGCTGCTGATAAGGGGGATCTTCCAGTCTTAGGCTTTTCATATGAGCTCTTTAACTCTCCTTGCTTCTACATACCCCTTCCCACAACATGAATCTAGTTACTTAGTGCCACTTAATACATCTTAAACAATCACTGTAATTTATGCCTTCCAGAAATTCCTGGATGCTGGAATTTTATTTTTTTTAATTTTTAAAATTTTCATAGTCTTCAGTATTTACCTGGATTTTTTCAGTAGTTTAAATAGTATTCAATGATTTTCTCCTGCCTAACACTCAAAAGAATATCTCCAGATGAGAGAGTGTTTTAAACAAGTCATTTTTGTTAATAATCCAAAGTCCAAATGCCTTTTTTTACCATAAAACACTTTTTTAAAAAAGCAACTTTATTGAGAAATAATTCATATGCATAACAGTCACCCATTTTAAATATAGTGTATAAAATATAAATAATATTTATTTTAATTATTTAATACATTTTAGTATATTCACAGAGACTTTACAAACATCACTACAGTCAAGTGAAAAATATTTCATCCCCTCAAAAAGAAACACTGTTTTGTTCCCTTTTCCTTGTCCCCTCACTCCCTGTCAGCTCTAAACAAACAGTAATGTATTTTCTGTCACTATAGATTTTCTAATTCTGGACATTTCATATGAATGGATCCATACAATATTTGTCCTTTTATGATTAGTTTCTTTCACTTAGCATAATGCCCTGAAGTTTCATCCATGTTGTAGCATGTATCAGTAATTCATTCTTTTTTTAAAATAGCCGATCACATTCCATTGTATGGATGTACTGCGTTGTATTTGTCCATTTGTCCATTGGCAGATATTTAGGTTAACTGGACTTTTTGGCTTTTATGAATAATACAGCTATAAAACATTCATGTACCAGTTTTATCTGAACATATGTTTTCATTTCTCTTGGGTATATACCTGAAAGTGGAATTGCTGAGTCACATAGTAACTGTTTAATTGAAGAACTGCTAGCCTGTTTTTCAGAGAAACCATACATTTTACATTCCCTCCAACAGTGAGGGCTCTGGTTTCTCCATATCCTTGCTAGCATTTGTTATTGTCTGACTTTTGACTTGTAGCCATGCTAGTAGGTATGATGTCATAGCTCATTGTGGTTCTGATATGAATGTCCCTGACCAGTATTGAGGTTGAGCATCTTTTTACATGCTTATTGTTTATTGGTATATTTTCCTTGAAGAAATATCTATTCATTTCCTTTGACTATTTTTATTTTGGTCATTAATCTTTTTATTATTAAGCTATAGGAGTCCTTTGTATGATCTGGGCACAATCCCTTATTAGAAACATGATTTGCAAATGTTTTCATTTCTATAGATGTTTTTTATATTAAGTACAAAAGTTTTTTATTTTAAAAAAGACCAGTTAACCTGTTTTTCTTTTGTTGCTTGTGGTTTTGGTGTCATATTTATAAGTCATTTGCCAAATCCAAAGGTCACAAAATTTACCTGTTAAAAAGTATTTATAAGAGAGATTTCTCTCAGGATGTGGTGGTACGTGCTTTTAATCCTGGTACTCTGGGAGATTGAGGCAAGAGGATCACAAATTTGAGCCCAGCCTGGCCAACTTAGTGAAACTCTATCTCAAAATGAAAAATAGATATACAACTGGGAGTATAGCTCAGTACAAAAGCCCTGAGTTTAATTCCCAGTATCTAAAAAAAAAAGTGATTTTTTAGTTCGGCAAGTGCAGTTTATACATTATTTTTCCTTCAGCCCCCTTGAACTATATTGGGTACTTGGTAAGTATGCAAATATTTGTCAAAACCACTAAAGTTATAAGTAATTAACAGAAAAATGACTTTAGTATTCTCAGTGGAAGATAGAGGAAAGATTAGGCAGAATTATTTCCTTAATATTTATTGTTACTTGTTTTAATTGGACTTTTCAATTTAGGTTTAGGACTAGAAAACATTTGACTTCATAGGCCAGTAGCATCAAGAAAGTAATGTACTTTGGCATATACTGAGAAGTCTATAATTATGAAAGAAAGATAGTTTTAGCTGGCCTCTTCTCCCTACAATCATTCTCCTCTCTGAGGTGTTTCTCTAGCATGGTGATTCTCAACAAAGTCAAAAGCCCCATGTCAGTGTCTGAAGACATTGACCAAAAATGGTCACTGCTGGGGAAGGTGGAATAGGCATCTAATAGGTAGAAGTCACAGATGCTGCTAGCTGTCCTATAGGATGTGCCACAAAGAAGTATCTGGCTCAGAGTGTCACCATACCAGCAACCTCTGCTGTGTTGGACTTACATAGCAGTAGTCCTATGAAGAAAAATGGAGCTTTATGATAAAATTAATACATTTACTGTTATTCAGAACCATCATATCAGAACATGCTTATAAAAAGAAGAAAAAAACATTCTATATGGGATACCATAACTCTTTATTTGAAAACAAAAGGTAAGTGACTCTTTATATAATTGTATTCAAATGGATAGAATGATTTGTTTTCCAATTACATAACAGCATCAGAATTTAAGTGGATGTGTGCTTTATTTTTCATAACTTACATGTTTCATTTCAGGCTTAGAGAAAAGGAGGGAAAAACAACCTACATGTAAGATATCCTGTGCTTTAACGACTATTAAATAGTGCCTGGCGTAGAGTAGGTTTACTGAGGAAATAATGAATGAATGAATGCATAATAAAATTTTATTGGACTATACCTGGGTTCAGTTATTTATTTCAATTCATCTCAATGTGGGAATTTTTTTTTGCTTTGCTCAGTGTTTTTAAAATCAGGATATATTTGTAATACACAATATTAATGTTCATTTTTGGGAATTGATACATGAATATAACATATCTTGATCATTTTCAATCTTTTTATTTATATCTTCCTTCTTCTGGTTTTTACCTCCTTTACTATTTCTAAAAGTCTGTCTTCAAGTTTCTTCTCATTTCTCCTTTATTCATTCATCAATTTATAATCTAGGTTTCTCATACAAGAAGAAACAAGTAACATTTAACTTTCTGAGTCTGGCTTATTTCATTTAACATTATGGCCTCCAGTTTTCTTTATTTT